CCAGTAGTTCCCTGTTTCTAAGAAAGGAAGGGATAGAGATCTGCAGCAGAGCTCTGCTGATCATTGTCCTCAAAGTGAGACAAGAATAAAACATGAGTTACCACAAGCCTTATCTAAATAGACCTGTAAAATTGCTGCCAGAAGTGCTTGAATCTTCAAAGGCTGTGGGGACTGTACTCTGTGTGTTATGTCCCTCATCTCTGGTGACTGATTCAACTCAGTATTACTGTCACTGATAGTGTGTGTGCCATATTCTCACCCTACTCTGAAACTAGGGCTTGAAGCTTTAATTTTCAATACTGCCATCACCAACTAGTTTTTTATTTCTTCCCGGATGTTAGGAACAGTTGAGAAAAGGAGTCCTGATGTGCTCAAACCTTCATCATTCGGGATAAGATATCAAAGGCAAGGAATAATTCTCCAAACTTTTCTCATGATTATTTTAATACATTCTTGTCTTACAGAGCACAGATGTGGTCCTGTTCAGCCTGTTTTTGCAATGGTGTGGACAGAGTCTTGTACTTCTGGTACTCCTTCATCGTGAAGAAGAAAGGAGGGTGGAGATTCATTTTTAGAACTTGGAGCTCTGTAAGTCTATCTGCCATTTAAAGTTTTGAATAGACATGCTTTCTTTTGAGGTCTTTTCCTTAGATCTAATGAAACTTTCCTTTGTTACTCCTAATTTGTAAGGTATCTTGCTCTTTGTGTAAATTATCTTTTTGAGTCACATTTCAGGGGTTGTAGGCCTTTGCTGTGGTAGGCTTTTCAGAGTTCACCATTGTAGCTTGTTCTCTGCTCTGCTGCCAGAATTAAGAGGGATTTGTATTTACTTCCAGTGTAGTAATGAGGTTCCCCCTACGGAGGTGTTCAGCAAGCAATCTCCATATGGAATATCCATGAATCGCAGTAAAATTCTGCTGAAGTTAATTGTGGTATTTGATCTTGCATATGGTTTTATATGAAGTTACACAATTATGGCTGTGGCTCTCCAACACTGGTTGAGAATAGTTTACCAGCCATGCAGGCAGAGGATTCATGTGAAGAAATACTTTTTCCTGTAATTTTCAGGTCCTTTGATGGGCATTTCTTTCCCATGTCTAGTGACAGATGAATCCAAGTTAAACTAGGATGTTTGCTTGGGCTTTCTTAAGAAGCAGAGTCTATGAGACCAAATATAAGTCTCAGTGCATGTGAAAATGCCACAACTAAGAACAGTGAAAGCTGTAAAACTTTTTAATGCAGTGTCTATACAGGATGGCAGAAAGAGATCCTTGAGTAGAAAAGCAATATGCTGGTGGGACTGATGAAGTCTGTATGACACCAACTCACTAGTCTTCCACCTTTCTGGCTCTCAAAACAATTCCACAGCAAATGGAAGTAGAAAGCTCCATCAGTCACGAAGGTCAATTAAAGGCTATTTTAGACCTTGTAATCCTAAAATGGAGTGCTTCTCAGTGGATTTGTATCCAATAAAACCACAAAGTGCCTAGCGTCCATTCCCAATGGGAAGAAAGACCATGACTTCTTGTCGGAAATGATGATATAACAACAAAATTCATTAAACCTTTCCCCCCTTCTATGAATTTTTTAAAATCTAGACAGTTCAGGCAGGGCCAGAGGAAGACCATCACCTGCAGTGCTTGCTCTTTGAATCTGTTCTGTCATCTGCTCCCAAGCTTCACTGGAGCTCACAAATACCTGAGGATCAAACTTAAAGTGTCATATGGATGCTCCAATTCTGATGTCCCTTCATGTTGTTTCATCATTGTCTTTTTGCTCAGTTTATCTTTGCTCCTATTATTAAGGTATATTGTATTCCTTTCATACTTACCTTCCTCAGCAATGGATCTACTCTATTTTCTTTGACAACAGGTAGTTCTATACTGGTTCTTTATTTCCACCTGATTTCCTATAATCTTAGCTTTTACTTCTTTAAGTTTATACTCTGCAGCTGTAATGCATACACTTTTACATGTATTTAGACCTCGGAATCTTTTGAATATATGCTGACAGTATTTTAGGTTTTTTAACACATGTCCAAGTGGAATATATTCCTGGCTCATCCCAGCCCTATGATTTTGCACTAATGGGGTACAACATGAAGACTTGGACTAATCTATCTAGATGTTTCTTCAGTTAGATACTGCATTGCTTCAATTATCCAAATTTATAAACCCACTAGTATAGATGTAGCTCTATTATTCCAAAGTACTTTATATTCTTTATTTATTTCTGTAAAGTAGGGAGATTTATATCAATATGAATGTGCCTTTATCAGGGCTTCTGCTGGTTGTAACTACACTGACAACAAAATGCTATTTGTGGAATATATTTACTTATTACATCTAAATGATTTATAGGTAACATGTTTCATTATGTGATTTATTTTTTTCAACAGCTTAGCTGGCTTAATTTTTCAGGGTGAGTGGAAATAATGGTGATGTTATGTGTAATATTTCTTTCTATAAGCATGATCTATACCTTGTGTTATATGCTTCATGTTTTTCTTTAAGACTTCAGGTAAATCAAAGAAGGCTGTTCAAGGAGAAGGAAAAGGGAATCAAAACAATAATAGAGATAAGTAGATCATGAAAAGAACTATTAGCTGCAAAATGCTCCTGATTAGAGCCTATCACATAAGTATGGATATCTCTCCCCAGCGCTGAAAGGCTAGGATCAGTGAATCTGATCTTTAAAGACAATAGTATGCAAAGCAAGAAGCACTGAACAGATTTTTGCGTATTTTGGTATAGAGATGGATCTGTGAAAGAGAGAGATACAGAACTGCAGCAAGCAGGCTGCTGGTCCCAGCCAAGAAATGGGAATAAACCTGCAATATTAACAGCAGACATAAACTTAGGAAAGGAGATATGGGTACAGAACTGTGCTTCCTTTGCTCATCTTCCTATATACATTATTCCTTTCAGCAATGGTTGATTTTTGTTTGTTCTGCTATTTTTGTTTTGAAGAAGCTGCTACTTCAGCTTCTGCTGTCCATCAGTTACAGGTCACTGGAGATAAAAGCCTTGCAAGTTCTAAATCCATTTATGACTGTCAGGTTAAAATGGCTGTTAAACCAGAGAATACAACACAGGATGCAGTCACAAGGCTGGAGGGCAAAACTGATTCCAGAGAATGATGCTTTAAAGGGGAAGAAAAACTCAGTTACAACTATCTGGCCAGAACAACACTTGGCTGAGTGTTATGGCCACATCAAGAATTTTTTTTTTAAAATAAGTTAGTATAGAAAATTCATTAACATTTTTCACTATAACATACACAACTTTTCCTAACAAAACTGAAGAAAACCTATTTGCGTTACATACTTTTTATACTTAGGCTATTCACGGCATGGATAGTCTAACTTTCTTCTGTGGTGCTGTTTAATTCAAATGATTAATGGATCTTAATAAGTTAGTTTTCTGCCTAATACAGGTTATTATTTGAACCCTCTTCAAAGGCATCGTTCTTCCCTTCTGTAGTCTTAGCCATTTGTTTCCAAATATGTTATTCCAAAGCTTATTAAAACCACAATTTTTTTCCCATCTTTAATCATGTTATGGGTGCTAATGTACATCTTGCTTACAGTTTTCGATTAAGAGCAACTGGCTGATAGTGCCACAGTAAAGGAAAGAATGAAAAGACTCATCAGAGAAGATATTTCTAAGTTAAAGTTCTATCTGCAGCATGAATTCCCCTGTATTTCTCACAACAAATATTGTGGGAGTATTTCTGTGTTACCAGTTGCCTACCTGCTTGCGCTTCAGCTTCCTCATCACAGGGACTGATTATAGCATTGCTCATTTATGCAAGCTCCCAGTCCAGGGGTTTGCACTCCATGGTACAACTGAGGCCTAACTGAATTCTATAATTCTACAAAGTGGGCAAGTTAAGAGTGAACTGAAACATTCTAAAACTCCTTAGTTATACACAGGAAGTCTCTGATAGTATATTCAGAACAATGACAATGGTCGTAACTTTCAGCGTGAAGTCAAAGTTGATGAGCCTGTTAGGATCGTGAAACAGAATCTGTGTAACAACCATGACATTTGCAAATATGCTATTACAATAAACTGTACAGAACACAATTTTCATTGCCCATCTTTATAATTAAATATTGGTTCAACAAGGCTGCACTAATTAGATACACAGTTTTAAAATGTTGACTCTTGATAGTCTTTTTAACCTTTGTTCTCTCCTTCTCCTTTTTGCACACTCACTATTCTGCAAGGTATCAGCAACCCTTGAGGAGTTTATACCTCTTTGTTAACACCACCGGACAGGTTAAACCCATCTATTTTTGATTAGGTTATTGTTCCTATGTTGTATGTATATTTTTTGTATATTTTGTATGTGTATTTTTTTTAATCACATTTCTTATGTGAATGCTTTCAGATTTAGTATTTAGTCCAATAACACTATTGGATATAGTGTTATGATTTCTATCAATACAGGACCCAAATGCACTATTACCTATGCGGACTACGACCTATAGTGAAAACTGATTCCTACAAACAAGACTGAACAACATCAGTAAGCAAACTTAGCAAACACTATGAAGGCAACTTCATTAAATTAGTAAAATAGCACAGACAAAGTCATAGGTTTCATAGTGTCAGATAGCTATCGCTTTGCCTTTGTGATTAGAGACATAACTGTTAATTATGCTGATATTATTATCAAAGAAAAATCAAACTCCATGTCAGAGATTTTTAAGTTGCTCAGATATGAGTGAAAGAATAGGGAGAAAAAAGTATAACACAGTATAAGCTATTATCAACAAGAAGCAATATATTTATTCTGCAAAGAAACTACACAGACCTACTATAAGTTTCAACTAATTTCTTGAACTTCTACAGAATAACTTTATAATATAAAAGGTATTTGGCAATGGCTCTTTAAAACTTGGCCAGAGATTAAATAATTGCTTTCTCTTTGACCTCATCACCAAACACATCTGTAAATGTTGAAAAAAGATTGTTACAATGCATTTCACTTACCCTCATCCTTCCATTTCTTATTGCTGGCCCATCTTCTGCTAACCTCAACACATACAAATCCATTTTGTACTCCCTTCCTCCTCGAATACTAAACCCAAAACCTTTGGCTCCTTTCTCCAAATCAACGGTGAAATAATCAAAGTCCTGTAGAGACAAATAAGCAATGAAAGACAATTAATGATATGAATGTTGGGGTATATATTCAAGAAAACTTTAAAATACATCTCTTCAAAAGTGCAGTTATCCAACTGATCTAAACAAAGGGACCCTCAAAGTATAATTCTACATGGACAGACTTTGGCCATTTCTGAAAAGAGACTTTAGCAAACTAAATTCCCTAAAAATGTCTAAACCACCCTGAAAGGGTACTTTGAGCAGCTGCCTGGCACCAAAAGTTCTCCAGATGGTTTCCCTATTCAGCCTCAATACTTTCATGGCACCTGAGTATAAGTGTTTATTTTAATGCAGAATTAGTCATTTGGCCAGTGAGGTAGCAGGCAGTTCCTGTATAAGTATCATCACAATCAACATTAGGAGACACACCTCCTAAATTCCCAGCACAGCTTAACATGATCAGCAGGCTGGACTGCATGGAGTCACAAAGTACAGCAGCTCTCACCACTTTGGTTAAAACATGTGTATTGAGGAGTATGTGGGAAGTAGGAGATTTTGAGTTTCACCCTTGCTGTGTCCTGCAGAGACTGAGATCCACCCTTCCAATTTTTCCTTGGTGGACCCAAACTACCAGCCTCATAGAGGGGTCTGGGTGGGAACTTGGTCTGATGCTTCTGATCAATTCGCAGGCAAGACTGCAAGAGCCATGGGAAGAGCAAGCTTGGGTGGTGTAGACCAGTGGTTAGAGAATTAAACTGGAAATGCTGAGAAACAGGTAGTCTAAGCATATCTCTAGATGCTAAGGAGCATCTTACAGTGTATGTGCATGTGGATAGGGGTTTGCTATTTAAGCGCAGAAATGGACAGAATTTTCAGAGGGTTCTCTGAATTCCTTCAGAATTTGGATATTTTAATTGGTGTAGTTTATGTGTCTGGCTTTGAAAATATGGACATAGAAGCTATATATATATGTGGTTCCAGGATATACTGTCCGGAAGTTTACATTCTCTTATTTAATACTTTTCAGACCTCTAATTTTTTCTGCCTTTCTGTGAGGAGAACGGAGGATTTTCTACTGAAAGTCTGAACTTCGGGCTAAATCCTCAAACTTTCACAGCTGTCATTAAGTATTTGTCAGCAGCAGAATCTTGTCCAAGGTAATGTAACTCTTCATCTAAGTTCTGTGTCTCTGAATTTGTAAGATTATGCCTGATGACAAAGAAACTACTTGCACAAGCCAGTTTCTCCACAGCCAGACTATCACTAACAGAAATGTAATTTTATCAGTCAGGATTCACATTTATTTATTTATTCAGTTTAGATAAAGACTTCATTTTCAACAATGCTCTAAAATGCAGCCTGACTTAAGCACATCCACTGTTCAATGACTGCATTATGTTCCTAGGAATAAAAAAATTCCTTTGGTAATGCAAAGTCAACTTATCTCTAGAACTTTTATTTTAACTCTCCAGTACCTTAGAAATAGCATTTATTTAACATTATAGTCACACAGTTATAGTGTTATTTCAGAGCTCACATAGTTCTTCATTAATATTAATGGTTTTGAAATAACTTCCTCTACAGAAAAATAGTAGCTAACAGTAAAAACAATAAAGGTGCCTTTTTCTTCTCTAACATCATCTTTTTTTTTACCAATATACATGATTTTTCCCTACAAACCCTCATGCTTTCCGTTTAGGATTGCTATAAATTTGCACCTGGGGCTGCCTGTACTCTGACAGGGGGTACTGCCTCGTGTCAGGTGAATGCTGCCTGTAATCTATCAAGGGTGGCTGCCTGTAGTCGAGAGGTGGTGGCTGCTGGTAATCCATCACTGGAGGATGCCTGTAGTCCAGTGGAGGCTGTCGGTAGTCTGTTGAGGACTGCCTGTAGTCTGTAAATGGAGGTTGCCGGATGTCAGGTTTCACATCCTGTCTGGCTTTTACTTCTGACCTATAACTGAAAAAGGCAAAATGATTTAGCTTCAGAAAGCAGCCAGACATGGAGAATATGCATTACATGTGATATTGAGGAGCGAAAGCAAACTGCCTCCCTGCAAAATTGCATGAAACCAATTTTTGCACAGAAGCAAAACTTTCAAGGGTAAACGGCTGAGGCTTTTGAAATACGGCTATAAGCAATTTTCTCTCAGGTCAGTCATAATGTGTGATTCTCCTGCTCATGCGATCAGCATTAAGCTCAAAGGGGCAGGAACAGGAAAAGCATCCTGATTCCCCCTTATCTGGCCTACTTGGAATATGAAATTGCATGCGGAAACACAACACTCACTACAAAATAACGCACTGATCTTATAAAGTGTTTTTTTTTTCCAGAGTTAACATTTCTGTAGAGTAAATGAAACATCAGTGCAGACACTTATAGTCCCTCTGTTTCATTGACGTAAATTATGATTGTTGTGATATTCTTAAGGTTAAAAAAGGATAAATTCTTTGTACTAGTTGTTATCTTTTTAACGAAAGGTACTCTTTGATATAACATAACTTAATGTGTGTATTATTATTATTACACACGCACTATAATGCTATCTGGTTACCAGCCATGGCAGGTCATATTGGTCATTATGGACAGAAGTAACACAGGGTAAAAGGAAAAAAAATTTGGTCAATGAGGAATTAATAACAAGTAAAATCCTGCTTTAATTGGTAATTGGTTACAGGAAGATGAATCCTAACACTTCAAAGATAATGTGACTTTCTGTAGAATAGCAACTAGTTAATTAATTTACTCAGATAGGAACGAATAGCTCTCTTATCACACGGAAATTGGTGCGTAATAGCATTTCACACTTCAGGGTGAAGTAAGGAATATTCTTTTACTGCAAACCTCAGTATCGTGTAATGTGCTGAATGGGCACAAGGGAAGTCTGAATCCCTTTTAGCAAAGCAATCCTGTAGTAGTAGAGTTTAAAAAAATGTTCACATAGTGGATGTTTTCACACTCTCCCCAGGAAAATATGTGCCTATAAGGGAAATACACACTTCAAACTATATTATAATAATGATCTGGAAGTTTCCAGGTGACCAATTTGATACATGGACACATAGAAACCGTGAAAGGGATTTTGAAACGTATTTATTGATTAAAAAGATTACATGCTGAAAAAATGAGAGCATTGCTTTTGATTGTGCTAATTTATGTAGGAGAAAGGCAATCTAAATGTTAGAAAAAATTTCAAAAATTTAAATCTATTTCAAAACTTCATTACTAGTACAGTTACAGTAATATTATGGCAGATCTTCCTACACGCTAACTTTAATTAGCTGAATCTCTATCCAGACACTAAAATATCAGAACGATTTCCTTTTGACTTTTCTGAGAAGATGAAAATAGCTTGTTGCTGCATGTTCTTTTAAAACCTGTACATGGCATCTATAGTAAGACCTGTATGTTGACAGACAATCCTCTTTCTTTCTTTACTTAGTATAATCATTCTGTGAAATGAAAATGGAGAACAAACAGGCTGACTGTGATACTGAGCCTTAACAATATTGAAAGTAAAAATACTAGATAGTATTACTAAGAGATTTAAATATCATATAAAATCTTGATTTTGATACAGAAACTATGTATGAAGCTATCAAAACAAGCTGTAATCTGATTTATAAAATCTAGTGAAAATAATACTTATATGAACTAGAAATAACATCCTTTTTCTGGAACAAAAGTAATCTTTAGGTGGGTTCCCAATAAAAGATCACAGCTGTGTGTCAAAAGATGCTTTTATTTTTGCTGAATATATGAATAGTGACATGACCAAATATATCTTATGCTGTTAAGTAAAATGATAACATAATATCTTTTTAGCACTTTAATTAATATAGTTTACTGGTCCCCTCTGAAAATTCTCAGTTCAACAGACATTTACTACTGACTTACAACTGCACAGAGAGACTTGTGAAAGCTTTGCATTGGATTTTTGTCAGAAACATATGTCTTCTAGGAGATGATCACTTTTGGCAAAATTACTCAAGGAAATATAAGGCAAAGAAATTTGCCAAGTGTGACTAATTGAGAGGAAATAATTTAGGGCAAATGAAAGCGCTACATCTGGTAAGCAAGGAGAATTAGGGGGCATAGTGTCTAAATCACAACTGAACTCAAGTATATCCAGAAGCAGAAAGTTACAGTCCTGTAACCAGTGTCTACTATTTAGGGAAGAGGGTCTTGATGAGGTATGATGGTTATTGAAGATTAGCATAAAGACAGTCAGTGCAATCAGCTTCATTTAACATGCCAAAAATTAATCCAAAGACTAAATAGTGTTGATTGGAGATCATAGAAAGTTTGTATCATCCCACAGCTTGAGCATGCTCTTTATATAAACAGCTTCAGTACAGCTGGTCACAAAATTTCTATCCCCCTACCATTTAATTTCCATCAGAGATAAATTTGTCAATGCATATACATAAATTACACATGAGAAATCAGCTGGAAAATGATACACCATAGACAGATAGAAGCTGATATAAAAATATCTAAAAATATCTTCCTAAATCCAGAACTCTAATAGACAAAATCACGCATGTAAGATATATCAGATACTGATATACCTGTATTCTGTAAGTTGTAGTGATATAAGAAAGTAGTATGTTAGCAATGAAATTATTAACAAGGAATACTTCACTGTTTAGTTCCTTGGCAAAGATATGATCCTGACGGACATTTGAGGAAGGCTGGCTAGACCCTTGTTCATAATAACGTTTCATACCCAAACAAGACTTGCAGATCATCCTGGCATGCACGATTCATGCTCTGTGGGTGGAGTGACAGGAGCGTGGCTTGTCAGAGCACCACAGGCGATGGCTTACAGCTAGGAACAGCAGGAAGACCCAGCACAAGGGTCCTCACAGAAGGCAAAAGCTGGAGGAGCTGCTCTTACCTGTTTTCATGTCCTTGCAGCTGGAGGGGCTGAGGAGGTGGCGGCTGGGAGACGGGGCTGTGCTGGGCAACGGGGCTCTGCTGCGCCAGGGGACTCTGCTGGGCCACGGGGCTGTGCTGCTGGGCCATGGGGCTGTGCTGCTGGGCCATGGGGCTCTGCTTCTCCGAGCTGGGGGCTGAGGCTGGGCTGTTCAGCTCTGTGTAATGGGAAGCTGGAGATTAAACACCTGTCACAGCGTGGCATTTACTAAAGGGCAAAGGTAGACAATTATCATTTTTGGTCACACACAGCCTCTGGAAATTTATGCTTTGTCGCTTTTGCTATCTTGGGTTATAATTAGATTTTAAGACATCTGAACTTAATGGGCTTCTTTTGATCGTCTGCGGGATCTGAAGTCTTGGTCACTTCTATAACTCCGTTTGACACCTCCATTATTTAAAACCCCACTGAACAAGGCAAATTGCTTCTGTGTTTCATGTTTTCTTTTAAAACTCAAAAATACTGATTAGAGAATCATAGAATTGTTTGGGTTGGAAGGGACCTTTAAAGGTCATCTAGTGCCATCCCCCTGCAATGAGCAGGGACATCTTCAACTAGACCAGGCTGCTCAGAGCCTTTGGACTCGTTTGAGCAGGTCCACATCCCTCTTGTGTTGTAGTTTCTAGAACTGCACAACACAGTACTGCAAGTGGGGTATCATCAGAGCAGAGTAGAGGGGCAGGATCACCTTCCCTGACTTTCTGGTCACGCTCCTTTTGATGCAGCCCAGTACATAATTGGCTTTCTTAGCTGCAAGTGCACATTGCCAGCTGATGTCCAGGTTTTCATTCACCAGCACCTCCAAGTCCTTCTCTGTAGGGTTGATCTGAATCCCTTCATCTCCCAGCCTGTATTGATACTGGATTGCCCCCACACATATGCAGGACCTCACACTTGGCCTTCTTGAACCTCATGAGGTTCGCATGGCCCCACTCCTTGAGCTTGTTCATCTCCTTCCGGGTGGCATCCTATCCAAAAGGCTTGTCAACTGCACCACTCAGCTTGGTGTCATCTGCAAAGTTGCTGAGGGTGCGCTTGATCCCACTATGTCACTGATGAAGGTATTGAACAGTACTGGTCTCAGTACAGACCCCTGAGGCATGCCACTTGTCACTTATCTCTACCTGGACATTGAGCCATTCACCACTCCCCCCCCAGATGCCAGAATCCAGCCAGTTCCTCATCCATCAAAGAGTCCACCCATCAAATCCACATCTTTCCAATTTAAAGAGAGATATGTTGTGGGGAACCCTGTCAAAGGCCTTACAGAAATCTAGACAGACAACTTCCATAGCTCTTCCCTTGTCCACTGGTGTAGTCACTCCATTTTAGAAGGCTGCTTGGTTGGTCAGGCAGGACTTGGGCTTGGTGAAATTATGCCTTAGCTTAGCTCCTAGATACCTGAAATACTATTAATTTTGAGACAATGAATGATTTTATTCTTTCATCACTGTTATGGGATGACATAGTTGTCACAAAAGATAAACCACTGGTGTGCTTGTGTTAAATCCTGCTGTCTTTGAGCTCAAGAAGAATTTCCTGTATTTTTTATATCTTTGGGGCCTGTGAACAGTAAAGCCAATCTCAATAAATTCTTGCTAACCAGGCAAAACAATGTTTTATTTCACTGTATTGTGCCAAATGACCATGGTTTCACAGAAAAACAGAATCCTTCTTTCCAAACACCATAAAGTTCAAAAAGACAGAGAAGTTGGGGTAGGAAATGTGGCCTTATTACAAATAAAGGATGCCAATCTTCCTTCAAGCTTCCTGCTGCACTTGGGGGAAGACACATTTGGCACTGAGCTCATATCAAATATTATTTGTTTCCCCCAAGACCCTGGCATAGCTCTTTTGCTCATCATTTACCTGTAAATAAGCGTAAAAGAGAGAGTCTCCACCCAGAAAAGCACTTCAGAAGTGACTGCTCATGCATCACCAACAGCAAAAGTGCTCATTATAAGTTTTGGCTCCTACTTGCCAGTGTGGCATGGTGCAAAGCATCCAGAATGGACATGGAGATGGCTGAGCATCCCCAACACCAATAGCTATGCACGATCCAGATATTGCCTTGTTTTATATTTGAATGTAGTTTGAATTTTGAATTATTTTATTTTGCATTTTTTACCATGTGAGTTAATGACTGCACATTTCTAATGACTCTCCACTTATTTAATTTATGCTTATACTTATTTTAAAAATTTTAGCTACTTTATTAAAAATCTTTTCAATTTAGGCTTAATTGTCAAAAAAGCTTGTATATTTGCGCTTAAAACACTCCTCATGCTGGCATAAGCAATGCTTGTCTATGTAATTACTATGCTTAAGGCGTTAATTGCCCATTTTGCATCTGTGAGTCTCTTTTGTATTGCAGTTTCAGAGCTGAAGATAGTGAATGCTGTCCCTCATTTCTACATTACTCTCCTAACTGTAGATGAACTAGTCAAATCATAAGCTGCTCTGAAAACTGCTTTGCATTTATATGGCATTCTTCACCTGAAAACACATTAGAGAGGTATTAGATATTTTCCTAATTTTGTAAGCTGGGAAGCTAATATCAGAAGGCAAATGAGGTATCCAGTATCACATAGGGAAGCCATGACTTGGGCACAAATAATCCCTCACCACCAGCACCCAAGAACATTTTGTAGCACCACATCTCAGACATACTTTCTTTATTTCCTGTGTCACATTCCTAGCTCTACTGGTATTTGTTGCTGATTTATAAAGCCATGGTCTCATTAATATGGTACAATTAATACATCAGTACAGAACATTGATAAACTACATAAAGGCCTGAAATCAATCCCAAACCCCATGAAAACAACATCAAAAGATCTTTGCTGATTAGCTGTGGAATAATGACCAGAATAATGAGCCTGTCCCCTTACCCTCACCCTACAAATGAGATAATTTAGAGTTCAGTTCCTTCCTGGCTTGTGCATTTATAGTGATAAAGCTATGAATTCTGAACCCTTCCTTCACATCCCTTTTTGTCAGAGGTAGCTGAATGTGCCTGGTGACAGCCATTCTTGAGTCACTTTGCCAAACTTTTGTTTGGTTTTCTAGCAGGATATAAGGGAATGAACTCAAACCCTGGCTCTCTTGTAGGCTGCTTTTCCATGTAGAAGACAGTTCTCCCAAAAGACATTAACACTGACTTTCCGGTGCTCGTGACTTTCAGGTTTCTCCAGGTTTGCTTTAAATATCCTTTTCATAACCAGAAACCTTTTCAAGAATCCAGATATTATTTCAGCTGGTTCTAAGGATGTAGTTTTGCTGTGCTGTACATTACAGCTCAAAAAGTGAAACAAAAGATGTTCTTTCAAGCGGTGACATAATTTAAGCTAATTGGAGGCTACTTAAAATTTTCTTCCTGTTTTTAAGGGCCATTGACTTACCCTCCTGAGGAATGATGCGAAGAGTTACACTGAGACCTGCATCTTTAATTAGCTTCACAATATCTGCATGAGGCATGTTTATAATAGACTGGCCATTCACAGCTAAGATCCGGTCTCCAACTTTAAGTTTTGCACAGCGATCTGCAGGACTTCCATCAATTATCCGCCCTATTTTATGGGGTACAGCTAGACAAGGAACAATAGTCACAGTTAACATGCTGACAGAAGTGGTGATGTTCACAAGCAAAAGAAAATGAGTTCATTTGGAAGAAAGTTTTCTGTGAATTAAAAACCAGCTTGTGCATAAACATGTAAGAATATAAATTCTTATATAATATCACTTTCGTTAACACAGTTTGAATTTCACTAAAAATTCAGAATTTAGATGTGCGTATATACACAGCATACACATATGACATCCAAAATCAGTTTATGGTTCAGCTACTTTGCAAACCTGGCACGTAACAAGATAATAAACAGATCAAGAAGACAATAAGGCATTAAAACAGTGAAAGGGATAAATTTGCACAATAAGTAGTAGTCATAAATTGCCTTCCACCTCTTAGTTTACAGAATTTCTTTATTTGTATGTTGCAATAGAAGAACTACAAACATGACTTATATACAAATATATGTTATTACTGAAAATGCCCATGCTTCACTATTGTTCTCCTTCATTCAAATATATTAATTAATAAACAGAAATCATACTGAAGAGTTATTAAGATGTGCAGTTTTCTAATCAGATACATGCCAGCATGAATTTACAGTTAATTATGAGCGCACAAACACATTTACTACATCAAACAGACACCTCCCCATCCCTCTTCTCAAAACATGTCCTGGTTTCAGCTGGAATGGAGTTAATTTTCTTCCTAGTAATTGGTGCAGTGCTGCGGTTTGGCTTTAGTCTGAGAACAATGCTGTTAACACGCCAGTGGGTTAGTTGTTGCTAAGTAGTGCTTACCCTGATCAAGGACTTCTCAGTGTCTCATGCTCTGCCAGTGAGGATGGGCACAAGAAGCCAGGAGGAGGCAGAGGCAGGACACCTGACCCAAACTAGCCAAAGGGGTATTCCATACCACAGCACGTCATGCCCAGTACATAAAATGGGGGGAGTTAACTGCAAGGGACTGATTGCTGCTAGGGCTGGCCTGGGTATTGGGCCTGGGTGGTGAGCAACTGTATTGTGCATTGCTTGGGTTTTCTGAATTTTATTTCTCCTCTCTTTTTCTGATTATTATTATTATTTCTCTCTTTATTGTATTTTACTTAATACCAATTATTAAACTGTTCTTATCTCAACCCAGGTTTCACCTTCTTCCAATTCTTTTCCCCAGCCCACCTGGCAGGCAGGGAGTGAGCAAGCGGCAGTGTGGTACTTAGTTGACAGCTGGGGTTAAACCACAACAAAACACTACACATCAACTTTGCTTTTCCTTTTGCTCTTCTCTGTGGTTCTCCACACCTTGTGTGCTCTATCCATTCTCTGGTTCTGTCTTTTCCTTTGTTATCCATTTAATTTTCTAAATATTACTCTTTCTCCCAAAGTTTCTTCCCTATTTTCCTCTGTTTTTTAATTAAATATGTATACTATAGCTGACTCCTCTCTCTGTCTAGGTTCCCCAAAGACTGTGCTAATTTTCTTCCTCTCTATACTACTAAATATGCTTATCACAATTAAATTTGAGTATATATTCTATTAATATCCTAATGGTGTCTGAGTATCCCTCACTGACTCCACACTTCAGTTTTGGCAAAATTAGCACAAAGCATCTTGGCCTCACTATCTAGCTGCAACTGGTGTTTAGAACCAGCTGTGCCTCTTTTGAAAAATAATATATCCTTAAAATTCTGATAGCTAAAGACAACTTGGAAAAGTTGAAAGAAAAGATTAAGCAAACATTTTTTTTGGGAAATATCTAGGCTATCAATGCTCATATAAAACAAAGCTCTAACAGGAGATGTGTTCAGAATACATCACTGCAGAACAAATTTCTCAGCCCTCTCATAAACATTCCCTGAAGGTGATGGTGACAAACAGATTGCACATCTCATGTAAAGCCACAATACACATACCTCAAAGTGACTTCTGTTTCTAATATGGATGCAAGTGTTGTTTATAGTGTTAAAAATTAATTTTCTGAGAACTAAAAATATAAGTGAAATGCACGGCATAATCAAACTGCATCCTTCTTACCACTATAGTTCAGGCAAGAGTATAAATTAAATTATGGCTTTAGTTATATGGACATGACACAACTGTGTCATGTCCATATAACTTCATGAAGTGAAGTGTACTTCAGGAATGTCTTGCTGCTTAGGAAATGAGAACCTAATTTATGTCACAATGTCCAACATTCTATAAAATATACCAAATACAAGTGGCCACACTTTGTACAAAACTTGTGTTGATTTTGCCCTCTATGCAGATGTATAACTGCCATGCATGCATATCAGGAAGTAAACAAGTAGAAGAGTAACTTGACGTTGAGACTGTTTACATTCACTCAGAGCCTATTGCATCAAATCAATTCATGAAGCATCATCAAGCTAAGACTAAAATGTGCCTTTTTCTGGTATAGGTAATAAAAGATCTGCCATGCCTGTACTACACATCAGTGGAGATCTGAAAATGAGACCATCTGGTATGAAAGAACAAGAAATTTAGTAGGAAGGAAGAAGGGGAAGTATCATGCCCTGGTTAAAATTCCCATGTTTGCCATTTCTAACCCTAAAGAAGATGGTTTTGCTAGCCTAAATAATTAAGTAGAAACATTATTTCAGAAGTGAGGGGGGCAGGTGGGTGGGAAACCCTATTAATTTCCCACAACAATTTTTGTTGGACTTCTTGCACCTGACAAGTGAATAGAGCAGATGTCTGCATGTTTGAGATGTCTGCTGAAACAGCTAGAGGTGGGAAAGCCACAAGAGTCCAGTTCTCCAAATATTGAGAAAAAGGAAGGAAGGGAGAAAGAGGAGGAATTCTGTACTCCTTTTTTCTTCCTCTTAAGCCTAATGGCCTTTAACTTCACCATAAAGGTAACCCCTGGTCCTGATATGCTATGAAAGGATCAAGTAGGTGACCTTATGAACAAAGCTTGTGTCTGTCAAGGTACCTTTTCTACTGCTGTTTGGTTTTTGAGGATTTATTGCTCCTCTTCTGAGGCTGTATTGGTACAATGTCCTGTCATATGATCTTGCTGCAGAGTGGGGTGTGGAAAGGTTTGGCAAAAGGAACCTGAGCTCAATCACATTCTGCAAAGGAGACCACTGGTATGCTATAACAGTGGTTTATAGGCAAATCCAATGAACTACTGAAACTCACAGTCATTCAGCAGAAGCTCTTTCCTGTGCATTTCAAAGTAATATGAGAGGTTTATCCCCCAGCTCCTGCTCTTGGAGTAATATGCTGAGGAGTTTCAGGTCCCTTCTTGCTCTCCGCAAGTCTCTCCCAAGCTACAATATCCTGGCCACCACAGTCCCTGCTGCTGCACTGGGAAGAGAGGATTTATTTATAAGCATGAGTGCTTCTGAGCAGTGCAGATTGTCTGATGCAGGTTATTCACGGAAATAGGAACAGGTTAGAAAATTCATTTTTTATGAGCCTTTGGTGGTGAAATACTGTGGAGGGGTAAGAAGGAGCTACCCTCATGGGAGATAAATTAGGGGAAAGCTAAGGAACAACGGTAGAAATGAATTGCGAATTTCCATATTGGAGAATTTTTATTATTCAGAATGGTCACATCTAAAAACAGGCATGGAAGAGGTGTAAAACTGTCAGTACCGAGTGGGTTGATGAAGTGGCAGACAAGATCTCATGAAAAGAAATACAAGATGATGCACATGGGGAATAAAATAACCCTTCCTAAGCTTAAGCAGAGATAAACCCTGAAGTAATTATTATCACTCAAGAGATCTTGAAATAAGTGTGCCTACTTCTTTAAACACCTAAACTCAGTAAAACAGTAAATAAAAATTTAAGAGCTAGAAAAAGAATAGCAAATGAAGTAAACTATTGCCAGTTACTACTGTGCACCTGAAGTCTGAGTATTGCTGGTAGTTCCAGTATCCTCATCCAAAATCAAAGCACTGAATTAGCAAAGATTCAGAGAAAGCACGACAGTTAGAGCCAGAAAACAGCCTCTGCTCAGAGGAGTAGTCCAGGAATTCACTGCCTGCAACTTGGAAAAGGGAAGGTAAGGCAAGGGTTAAGACAAATTCACAGGGTGGATCCACAGATAAATAAATCAGAAAGTTGCTGTGAAAGCTGAGGAGATGCCTGCGAAAGGTCCTTGTCTGCTGTAGGTGCAGTCCCTCTGCCACTTGTCACGGCCAGGGACAGCATGGAGCTGCTTTGGTCTCTCACAGCATCACAGATACCTTGTGATGAAACCTCCCATGCTTGGCATTAAATTAGGGCTTCGTTAAAGCAACACATTTTTTCTTAATTTACATCTTCAGTGCTTTATTTGTAACTAAGCAGAGCATTTCATAATGTAGCCTTTTAAAGGAAGTCCCAGATCACTTGACTGGTGGTAAATGATTCCACTCATCCTTAAAAGTTTTTGCTAATCTATTCACACCTCTTCTAAGAATTCACCACAAGCTGTTCTCCAAACATATGTACATTTTGAACAGCGGCAGCACGTGCCTGGATTAGACCCTGAAGAGAATTTGATCCACTTACTTCAGAGCACCGAGTTACCTGAGCAGCATTTAATATTAGCAGGCTTGAATTTTCCTTAGTTCTGCCAGACTAGGCAATGGATGAGACTACAAAGGGAAAATTATTAAGGTAAACAGGGATTTATAGAGATTTTTTAAACCATTGGCAATATGGGAAATCAGTGAGCTACAGTTCATATGCATATAAAACATACAGTCCTTCAAACCAGATATATAGTTTTTTTTTTATTCTCTAATCGCATCAAGTCGTCCAAAATGTGATGCTCAGGTGATGTATATGCATATGTACCTTGAGAAAACATAAATCCTTCCAAGGCAGAAGTCATGATCCTAGCTCCAAAAAAATCTAGCAGAGAACAGCAAGGGCACAGAAGCATTTCGTAACAATGGATCTCATGGGATCTAACTTTTCTGCAGTGTGTTTTTTCATAAGCTCGTGACTTCAGGAAGATTTGAATCCTGAAAGTACCAAAGCTTCTAAAATATTTGAAGCCACC